ATCAGGTATCATCATCTTCATCACCATCATCATCATCATCATCATCAGCAACAACAACAGCAGTGGCAGCAACAACAGTAGCAACAACAATAACAACAGCAACAACGCCGTCATTACCGCCACCTTCTGCTATTGTTTTACCAACTCAGCCAAATTCAATCACTGGTCTATCATCTCAGGTTCACGAGATTACCTGCAATTTATGTCCTAAAACTTTTGCTAGCCAAAAATTACTTCAACAACATCAGCATATGTTCCATACTGATAAAGCATTTATTTGTGAAATTTGCGGCAAAGCATTCCGGTTCCGGTCTAATTTAGCGGAACACCGATCCGTACATACTGCGCTCAAGCCATATGTTTGCAAATTTTGTGGCAAATCATCGAGGCTTAAAGGTTAGAGCTTTTTTCCTTCTTCCTTCCTCCCCCGAGAATCTTCGTTTATTAGCGTTGATTGATTCCTTAATTTTTTCGATCAATTAATTGATAATAAGAAAATTCAAAGTGTGCTAGAAATTTATTCACCTATTCATTTAATATTGATACATTAAAATTGTGCATTTACCAAATGTTCCAGCAACAATTTGACAAATGTATCACTAAAATTCCCTATTATGAAAGTTAAAATTTTCTTTCACACTGATTGATTAAATGATAATAATAGTAGTACTACTCCAACTGTTATGTATGATAATTGCTTACTTCTCCTTATTTTTTACTAGTCTATACCAAATCTTTGGCTAATTTCAGAGATATCAGTAATCATTCTATAATCTTTTCTTCTTCCTCTACCAAAAAAAGAAAGAACGAAGTAAAACATTTAATTGCATATTAAATTTTCACTAATAAATTTCGAAAATGGAAATATTCAATTCATAAACTTTATTCTATGCTTTATTATTTGTTAATATTTTTCTTTTTCGTTTTTTAATCCTTTTTTAAGCTTATCATTGGATAAAATCCTAAATTTTGTTTGAAAAATACCAATTAATGTGATTTTACCAACGTCTAAATCCATGTTGCTATCATCCATGAAATGAACTTATCCACTCTCATATCAATTTTTCCATCCTTCTTGTCTCCATTTTGCTTAATTTATGTAAATGAACTCTATCGTTTTTCTCAAATGAAAAGAGTTCTTTTGGCTTCGGATAGCCTATATCCAGTTTAATGAATTGATGGGAACGATCCGTTGGCGGTATTGGTGGTAAAACATTACCGGTAACGTATCTTTTATTCTACCCGCGAGCTGTTTACTGCTTTGTTTCGCCTAAGCAAATTTCATCATTGATTACTTCGATTTGTAAACTAGATTAGCTTGTTTACGCGCAAATAATAATAAAATTGTGGTTCACACAAAAGAATTGATTGAACAGTTGAGGTGACAAAGGTAGAAAAGCAATAAACACATAATTAACCAATGAATCAAGACGAAAAATAATAAGTAATTAACAAAAATAATAAGCATAAGATTTTTTTTAAAAAAAAAACAGTCTTATTTGTCATGCATTCTTTTTATTTACCTTAATTGTTCAGCTTTTTCCATTTCATTCATTATGCAGCCAGTTATGTTTCACGAAAATTTATGCAAACATTTTTTTCTTTAAATTATCAAAAAAAGAAAAAATTTCATTTCTAATTTAACTTCAAGAGAAATTGTAAAGATTTCTGGAAAAATTTTTCAAAATGGTTCTTTCTTTTCTTTCTGTTTTTATTGATTTCAACCATATAGACAATTTTTCATAACTTTCAGCCTAGCTAACTTTTTTTTGGGTTAAAACAGAGCGAAGCAATTTATGAAAGAAATGTCAACATCTCTCTCTTCTTTTTTTATAACCATGCAACATTATTTTCGCCTCTTTTTTCCAAATTAAAATTTGACAGATTTTTTGCTTCAACACTCAGATATCTTTTTTTTTTTAAAGCTTATTATAATCATTTATGGCTAATTCTAACTTTTTTGCAAATAAATTTAAAATCGTCAGATGTTTAATAGTAATTACACTATTACGGATAGTTAGTTAATATCTGTTTATATTTTGTGTTGAGATAGCTATCTTTTATTCTTCTTCCCACTAAATTAACAGGAAAATGATTTTTTAATCTTAGCATTTTGTTGAAATGAGAATTAATTGAACTTCGCTTACACTTTCTAATTTTAAAACTGATTGATTGGCAAGTTTCCTGAAGGACTTCCAGATTTGATCACAGCTAATTTGAACGAATTTCATTTACTCTCACTTTATTATTGTTATTCCTCAACTTGTGACACAGTTTGCGCTTCCCTCTTTCCTGATAGCATAGCCAATTATATCACTCTAGTTACCAAAGTTTTAATTTGCATATTTTAATCCTCTTTGTAATTATCTCCCATAGATCAAGATTGATACTTACGTCTATTTGTGCTTAGATGGTCAGTCACGTCTAGATGATTAAGTTATTACCATCTTGATGATTTAATCATCTATTAGATAATCTATTACCAGCTAGATAGTTAAATTATCTGCTCTCAAATGCTTAAATTAACTTAGTCTAAATGACCAGATTTTGATACGTATGACTTCACTCTAATATTTTAGATATTATGATCTAATTTTATATTTCCAGTCGTTTTAAACCATTTGAAATTATTCGAATTGTTGATTGAACTTTTGAAATAAATAAGTTCTCCATTTCTCTCAAACTGCAAAATTCAAATTCCATTTGAGTGTAGCAGTATCAGTTTATCATTAAAACAATTTATTGTTTTGTAAAGATTGCCATCAGCAAGATTTTCAAACCTGTCATTTAAAAATTTGCTTCTTCCATAGCGATTAGCATTATTATCATCATTATTAATAGCAAAAGAAACATTATCTTCTTTATGTTTATCTTTTGTTATTTACTATTATTATCATAATGATTGCTATCATTATTATCATCATTATGATCATTTATTATGATTATCGTTATTATGATTATCGTTTTCCACAGTCATCTTTCATTAACTTTTTTGTACAGTAAACTAACCAAAACTAAAAATTCTGATATAAGAGTAATAAAGAAGAGTTGATGGAATGATCAGCAATAAGAAATTGCCATTATTATCTACGTTGATGATAATTGTCATAGTAATAAGCTCTATTCAATGGGAGTTGAAGATGAACCGGATTTTGTTCAGTTCAGATCTCTTTCTATAATAATATCTTCTTGAATGAATCAGTAAGTAAAATTATGCTCCTAGAAAATGCTTATCCGATAAACTTTTTAATTAATTATCGAAAAAGTAAAATAATAAGCATTGCTTTAATTGTTGTATTAACTAATACATTTCTCATTCATATATTAATTTGTGAAATATATATATTTGATTAAGTTAACCCATTGAAATAAAATACTGAAATTTCATATGAAATATCAGTAGTTTACATTTCTAGTTATTAAAACAAAGAGGAAAATAATTACAAATTATATCCATAACTATTCATCAGTATTAATTGATACGAAAAAGAAACAAAGTAATGGAAAATACAATGAGAAAAATGATTGGTTTTTTTGTTGCAAATTTTATTCAAATTTTTAAAGTCTTAATTATTTGGAAATTTTACTGACATTAAATATGCTTATTTTACATTCATTTTATGATCATTGCTGGAAAAGTATTTCAGGAAATAGTCAGAGAGAGGGAGAGAGACTAATAATCGGTAAGAAAAAAAAGTACAGTGCATTTGCCTTTTGTGCAATTTATTGCATGTAATCAAATTCGTGTATTCTCACCAGTATATATCTATATATCCGGTTTTGTAAATAAGAATTGTCATTATCAAATGTCCTGCTATAACAGTGTGTCCCCTTTCTGCTGACAGAAATAGGAAGAGAGGGACGGTAGGGGAAGATGATAGTGGAGGAAAGTTGAAGATGACTGGGGAGATTAACACTTTTGACGAAAAAAGAGGGATAAAACTGTAGTTCATGTAACAAATATCTGGAAAGCGTTTTTGAATAGCGTTGACAGCCAGTCATTCCATTCCATGCATAGGTGTCGTCGATATCCGAAAATTAACATAATCATTCTTTTTTTTCTTTTGTGATCTATGAAATCAGTGATAAGATGAAGCAGCAACATTAGTGATAGCTAATTTTTGTGAAATCTTTTTAATTGAAAAAGTTTAATATAGATATATTAGAAAACAAAAATAAAAGCATGCATATTTATGTAAATCTACAAAATAGACGTATTTATAGAATTTACCGACAATGTCACCAGTCTACAGGCGATTTCCTGTCCTTTGTCCACAATCTCATCTACTACATTTCCTTCCTTCTATGTTCCTTGTTTGCATTCATGCATCTACCATCATGCAAAAATTTTGCCTTCGGTCATTTTGGTGATGACAATACTACGGGGAGGAAGCAGGACAGAACAAAACGATCATCGCTGTGGAAAGTACTGGCGATATTTTGGGGTGGTGGAGAGGGGATGGTTTGAATGATAATCGGGAAGAAAGAGAAATTTCTGTCTGAAACCTGTATTTTATTATATTTCCATTTGGTGATAATAATGTTGACCGGATAAGATTTGGACTTTGTCATCGTTAAATGAACACTTAGAAACAATGCAGGAAAAAGGAAGAAACTTATAAATGAATGTGACACAAGATGAAAGGGGAAAAGTAATACAAAAACTGTTTCATGTTATTTATTTCTGACAAATTCACTGGGAAAAATTAATTTTAAATACAAAAATCAAAATGTATTTACTGAAAATTTCGTTTCTTTTCTCTTGTTCTATCTTTTTTAAATGAAATATTTAAGTAATTATTTCTCTCGCTCTGTTATTCTATTTTGCTATAATACGTTAAACGGTAATAACAATTAATAATAATTATTATTAATAATAATAATAATAGTAATAATAATAATAATAATAATAATAATAATAATAATAATAATAATAATAATAATAATGATAATGGTAGTAATAATAGTAATAATAATAAATATGATAACAATGATAATGGCAATGATAATTGTGATAATGATGATAACGATGGTAATGGCAATAATGATAACAATAGTAATAATAAATAATGATGTATAATAAATATAATGCTTTTTTTCCATAAAATGGCATGTATTTTAATAATGTTCAAGTACTTCATTGAAGTTGCCCAACTGTCGATTGATAATTTAATCGATAATGAAGTTTAAAAATCTCTTTATAACCCATCTCTTTGCATAACATATTTAATTAAACTGTAGTGATCGAGTGACAAAGATTTTTGGATATTTTAGTACGATCTTTTTTCTTCCATTAATTACCGAAATGAGTGTTATTAGATCATGTATATTTTAGGTTATCAGGTCATCCATTCCTTGACAATCCTCTGTTGTATTACGGAGGAAAAAAAAAGCAAAAAATTAATTGCAAATGATAATTAACGGCAGATACTTTTTGAAGATAATAATAAGCTATCATCACACTGTAATAATATCCCGTCCCATATAACACTGTATTCTTATCCAACAATTAGTGAATTTTATGATACTGTAACACTGTATTCTTATTTAACAAATGGTAGGTATATCAGTATTGGTAGGTATGTCAGTATTTTGGCAACTAGGATAAAACTTTAATGCTGCATTAATAAATAGCATTTCTACAGTTTTACTCAATGATAAGTTTCAGAAAATTTTATTTACCCTTCTCAAATGCAGAATTTGTGTAATTGCTGTTTTTATTGCGAAAGTCTTGCTTGTCATAAAAAATCTTCAAGTTGAAAATTTAAATCTTAAAGTGAAAAAGTTTTTATTGATTAGGCGGATTTGGTTGAGAGAAGTAATTATGTTGTTATATTATTTCATTAATTAATCTTTTAATGAATGCTAACAATTCCTTTTTCACCATTATCAATTATGAAACAGTTGAAGAATGTAACTTCAAAATTGCTGCCATTTTTACCTTTTTTTTTCAGATTTAGCATTTCTTCTTTTATTAATAATAGAATACTTCATTTCCAATATTCATTTTATGAGTTTAACATATATTCAAGTTCTTTTATACACTATCCACTGACCAAACTATGTCAGTTATTTTCCGGACACGAAATATTTTTGGATCTAATTATTTTAAATTTACGCTTATTTCGGCTCTTCCTATTTAGTTTTTTTCTCACTCACAGTTTTTAATTAGTAAATTTATAATTTAAAACTGAAATTCAAATATAATGTGATTTATTTGTGCAACATCTGCTCTTCCATTCGTTGTAATGCATTTGTGTTACGTAAATTGAACGGATATTCCTAGTAGTACGATATAGACAGAAAAAAGAAAAAAATTAATTAGTTGTCTAAGAGTAAATTAATTAATCATATAATTTAATTTTTCTACGCTGCAGCTTATCCTTATTACTTTAATCTACTATAATCAATTAGTGGAATCTTATACAAGCATAAAAAATTCAAATTTATTTTTCGAAATCTTTTTCTATCCTTTCATAATGAGTAATAAGAAGTTTGGAAAAATTCTGTATTAACAAAATTCTTCACGATAGAATCACAAAACAAACAAACAATCAAAAATGAATATTTTAAAAGATTCTGACGAAATTTGAATTCTTTTCCTTTCTTTTGATCTTTAAAACTTCACCAATATTTATCTTTTTAATTCTGCTGGAAATAATCATTTAATCTTTTTTTTCCTTTAATTTTATTTCTTTCTGAATAGTCGATGCGCTTTCCGACAATTTTTATTTCATCAAATCTATCACTTGATATATATCGCATTTAAAGGGTATATTTAAATAATTGATAACAGAAGAATCTTCATTTCAGGAAATTTGACGAAGCATATTTTGAAACATCACAAACAAGAGCAAAATGCTTATATTGGTAAAGATGATATTATAATTAAAAAGGTTAGCTGCATGTTAAAAATTATAAAAAATTAAATTCTCTTGATTAGCTGCTTAAAACCTAACAGAATTTTTGATATAAAATATGTTACAATTTTCTTTGAAACTGTATTTCGTTCAGATCATTGACAAACTTCCTTCTTTTCTAATTAAAAAGTGAGCATCCCGTATTCACTTTAGCATAAATTAATTACAGGGTAAGAAATCGGTGAAAGATCCGGCAGCTGTTGATTTCCTCGAAAAATCAATGATAATATTAACTTCCGGTACCTCAGAAAACCCGCTTAATTTACCTGCACAGAAAGATGTAATTTTATTTTAGTTTATCACATTTATTTTTCCTTTAATTGCAAATGAATAATTTTATTTAATTTTATGTTTGAAATTAAATAACTTTGTTTTTTTTTTGTTTTCGTGATGCTTTGGTTAATTTCAAATTTCATAAAAAATAATAATTTTCAGGAGGCAATGGACGACGAGAATGATAAAAGTCGTTCAATATTCATGTCTCTTGGCCTTGATACGGGCAGCATGGATCTCAGGTCGACTTCACCTGAAGAAGAATCCATTTTTTCGGTTCACGGTTAGTAATTAGTAGAAATCTGATATATTACTGAGTTTATTACAATTATAACTTTAACGAATCTCAACGAATGCTTCTTATTCCTTTAAGAGCTATAACTTTTTGTATCAAATGAAAATTTTTCAATTATTTTCATATAAACTCCTCTATACAATTCTAACTTTATAATTTCTTTTCCATCAACTATTTTCAATTTTCAGCATAAAATCAACTTGTTGCATTCGTATTTTTAAAGCGAAAAAAAGAAAATAAATTGAGAAATTTTTATCACAAAAATATTACTTAGTTAAACATAAGTCAATGCGTATAATGCATGCTAACACTAAAGTATATACTATTATGCTTAGGCTTCTAAATTAACCAATTAATCACTATTACAATTTTCACTATCATGACAATACTACTTTGCATTAACATACAAAGACAGGCAGACAGACAAGTACACACACTCATATGGACATAGAGATATGTAATCGATAGGCGATACTATTACGCTATCGGATTTAACTGAGTTAATTGACTCTTCGCTTCTAATCACTTCCTTTAAAACTTTTGTACTGTGCTAATGTGTAATTGAATCGTTTAAATAGTTAAAAGCTCTTTGAAATGAAACGAAATTTAAACCAAACTGAACAACTCATTTATTGTAATAAGTGGCAGTGGGATTGTTGCCGACCTTCGATTCATTTGTCACTGTTGTAATCGTCTACGCCTTCGGGATATTGCTACAAGATTGTTTATGATAAGTATATACAAATTGAAATTTTAAGGGATAATTATAAATTGGAATAAGATATGATCAAATAATTATCTGATTGGAATTGATTTCCTTTCTTTTAGTATCTTTGATATAATAAACTAAACTGAACAACTCTTTTATAATAAAAATGTAATAGAATTTATGAAAATGATAAGACAGTTGAAAATGTTTCCTTTTTAATATCAGAAATAATTGAGAGAAATAAGGGAGGACGAAAAATTGTTGATAAAGTGATGTTTCAAAATCTTCTAAAAAAAAGATTTGTCATTATCTCGTTTTGTTTTACTTTCTTTTATGAACTTTTTTTTCACAAATTTTTTTGGGTCTTTTAAATCACATTTAAAAGTATGAAAGTTTTCCAGTTATCTGTTCATGTTATTAATATGAAAAATTGTGATATTTCAAGATTTCGAATAAATGAGAAAGTAAATTTCTAAAAATAAATTGTTCTATCAAATCTCAATGGAATAGGATAAGAAATATTGTAGAATTAACAAAATTAAACAAGTTTCCAACACAACTATTCATCTTACTTCATTGTCAACATCATTTCAGTAAATATGGTTGAATTAGGACGTGCTCAGTCCTCATCTCACATTACAGTATGTGTGATGAAATAATTCGAGTAAATGATACGATTTTTTTTTCCTCTCCTCCCCTCCCTCTTTATTTCATGGCAATCCTTATCATTTACTCAATGTTTCATTAAATGCTGAAGTAACAAAAGAAAATAACTAAATATGTGATAAGATTTATTAGAAAAATTTACAAAAATTGAAATGATGTTGAAAATTCAAAAATTACAGTATCCCTATTATTTATAACTTGAGATGGTGATAAAAATTTAAGTTTACGGCATATGCGGAAAGCATACTATTTCATTACTATGTTTACTTGGCTGCTACAATTTCTCATGAATATATTGTAAAATTTATTCTATTTTCCAATGTAATAAATGAAAAAAAAAAAGGAAATTAATGAGAAATAATGATTCATACATATGAATAAGCATTGGAATGATTGGATACGGTAGAAATGAGAATTGAGATGAATTAGAGAATAGTTTAATTCGGTTAAAAGTGGTCGTTGTAGAGTAACAAAACAAATGTGAAGGTACGATTTATGATATTGAAATAATTAAGAGAAGTAATTGCAGGAGAAAGGATGGGATGGTAAGTATGAATAAGTTAAAATTAGGTCGCATACTCAAGTTATATTACGTAAGTATAAGGGTGCAAACACTTCGATTGGTCAAAAGGGATAAGTACAGGGTTAACTTTAAGCTAAGCCAAAATCGAAGTTCAGACTAACTGGGCTAGAATACATCTGGGCTGATTAAGCTAAAGTAGAATAAGAACATATAAAAAACTAAAGTAGATAAAAAAAACTAGAGATAGATTATCTGATTTGTCAAATTCCTTAGTTACTGCTAATTTAGGATTAAAAGTGAATTCTTTCGAATTAATTCATCATTGACAAGATATTTGATACAATTAGATTGATCTATATCAAATAAGATATTATGTAATTAATGTTGAAAACGGATCCATTCAACAACATTAACATCTTGTATTGTATTGTATTACAAAATATGATGAAAAGTGGGATAGTTTTAAACATTCTTCAGCATTAGATCAAAGGATAAAAATCATGAAGTAGATGTTGTTTCAGTAGAAGGGATGCTTAAAATAATTTAAGAGAAAAGATAAAGGAAGTGAAGAGATTTAAACTGAAATAATTATTAGATGTAATTTCCGTAAAAAACAGTTTGAAGTAATTCGATATTATAACAACAGGCAATAACTACTAACTGAAGTATTCATGACTTTTCGAGTTAATTTTAATTAGAATTGTCGTAATATAAGTTACAGTATAAAATAGATAAATTATGTTTTATAGAATTAGTAATGAATTTAAAGGGAAGAATTAGTTATATATTATATTTTTATTTTTTTACAACATTATTTATAATTTCTCAAACTTATGTAGTATCGAAAAAAATTGCTAATTTGATAATTATTATATACATTACATTACTGTTGATGGATTTCAATTTGTTATTTACTTAAATATTCCAATAATTATTCTACTGATTATTGACGTTACTTTTCACTCTCACTAATTTATGCATAATTGTGATTTTTTTTTAATCCTTCAAAATGAGCACAAAAAATCGGAAAACTGATGGAAGAATTAAAGTGAAGTTGAAGTGAATAAAAGTACTATGAAAGGATCCATAAATGCAATGTGTAATTCATAAATTAAATCGAAAATGTCAATCAAAAATGCTTTTTGATTATTTTGCAGTAAATAGTAATGTTATTGTTTTAAAGAGGAATAGTCCTTTGGAAAAATATATAAAAAACCAAATTCGTATCGTTTTCATCTTCATCTTCAATTTTAATCAATTTTAATTGAAGATTAAATATTTTCTTTTTCTTTTGAATATCATTTGAAAATTTGGAAACTGAAAGAAACATATTTCGTTTTCAATTTAGTTAGTTTGATAAGAATGAACTATAACCGAATATATGAATGGATTATAGGCGAAAAACCGGCTGCCGATCCGATGACAGATGAACAAATTGGAATGGGCGGTGGTGAACTGGATTGTGAAGAGGGTACGTCATCACCGCTCAACAATATTAGTACCAATGAGCATCTTACCTCACTGATTGCTCGTATGGCTAATAATTCACGAACTCAATGTCCGGAATGTGGCAAACATTTCCGCAAAGGTTTCTTTACAAACAGTTTTCTTATTCTTTTTTGAAGCATTACAATTCTCAGAAAAATAAAAATTATTGCAAATATTTAAAAAGTAATAGTTCCTGAATTTTGGCATATTATACAGAAAATAAATTCTTCTTTTCCTTTTTTTCTTCGTTTTTTCAAACATGAAGATAATTCGTGGAATTTTGGATAACTATGAGAGAAATGACCATATGAGGATATTCCAAATATTTATATGAGGGTATTCCGGAAAACTATGTGCAAACATTCCAGCCTGATATATGAGGGTATCCTGAATGACTGTTTGGCATTTAGGAAAATTATATGAAACCATTTGGGATTACTGTATATGGACATCCTAGATTGTTGCATTGCATGAAATAATAAATTTTATGCAATTCCTATAAGTGCTATCGAAAAAGAAAATGAGGGACACAAAAAACAGATTCCAATTATTTATGAATCCATTTTAATCAACAGTTCTATGTAATTCATTAGGAAATTGCTAAATTGTTAAACTTTTGGAATTGCTAAATAAAAATGTCTTTAATGAAAAGCATTTTAAACATAAGCAAATCTTTTATCATTCACTGGCTTATGCCAGACAATTTATATACAAATAATAGCAATTTTAAAAATAAATCTTTTAGATAAATACTTTGAAAAGTACATAAAAAAATTCATTTTTAAATAAGAAAAGTATATGTTTTAAACAAAATAATAATGATAGAATGGTTATATGGAAGGTAAAAGAGAATTCCCATAAAAGCGATGACATTTAAATTGTAATAAATTGTTTTTCATCACATATGCTAGAGTCAAATCAATCCATTTAATAAAGATACGATATTCATTTAACAAATGGAGCTGAAAAAAGTTTAGACCAAATACATAAAGCAAGTTTCAGTCTAACAGTAAACAAAATAAGGTATGATAATATTAATTGATAGTTTTAATTTTTTTAGGTTCATCATTGCAAGTGCATATGACACTGAATCATGGCTTTCCGCCACCCGGTAGTTCCATTTCATCTGATGATCAGGCTGAAAAGTGTTCCGATTGTGGTACTTCAGCCGAACCAGGAAACTCTCAAAATGAAAACCCGTCATCGGCACCGGTTCATCAGGAAATTAAAGAAATCAAATCAATGATCGGTGAATTGCGATCAGCCCAGAGTACAGCACGTGTTGAACAGGTAATTCCTTTCTAACTAAACGACTGAATCATTTATCGTAAAGGTAAATTTACGACAAATAAAGAGGTAAATTCAGCAAAGGCAAACTCTTATTTATGAAATTTCGATTTTTTTGGAAAACAAAAATTACTTTTAGTAATTTCAATGATATTTCTAATTGAATTAAGCAAAAACAAATTTTTTATTTAAAAAAGAATAATTTCAGTTACTAACTGGTTTGGATACACGTGTTGGGCGGTTAGAGAAACAATTGGAAATGGCATTAAACAGCATTTATACACTGGTTCAGTTACAAACCGGAATTAATTCATCCGTAACAAGGTTCAGGGAGGAAGCTTGTGAGCAATTAAAAACAGTCAAAGCAATGCTAAGCGAGTCTTCCGTTTGATAAGATTTCTGATACTTTACAAAAAAGAATGACAAAGTGGAGAGAGAAGGAAAAAACAAAAGAGAGTTTGAGAAAACAATCTTTCCTTTACAAAAAAAAACTTTCAATTTCATTTTATCAATGAAATTGATCTTTGAGATGATGTTTTTTTTTCGATGGTATTATTTTTTCAACTAATTCACTTCAACCAATAAGTGCGAATAAAAAGTTAAATCTTTCAAGAAAAAAAAATTGAAAATGTCTTTGTCATAATGTCTCACTCTTTTAAAAGAAGACGAGATAAGGAAAGAAAACATTAAATACTAAGTCGTTTTTTTTTATTTCTCTTTGTATTATTTATTTTCATTTAATATTTTTTTTTCTACCGTTTTAAACGAAATTGTAAAGTTTTCATATATTTCTTTCAATCTAATATAATAATCGTAATTGTAATAATAATATCATTAATAATGACATATATATATATATATATATATATATATATATATATATATATATATTATTT